CAGCAGCAGGGCAGAGGAGCTTGGGCTGCCAGGAGAGGGCTTCTTAGGCTTTGTTTTGTTTTTGCTGAGCTCAGCACGTCTCTAGCGCAGTGACTCTGGGCACCAGTCCAGGTGGAACAGAGGAAATAACACGTAGGTCCAGGGGGTGAGAGTTTTCACTGCGGATAAAGCGACGTGAGCTGGCAGCGTCCTGCACGGAAGGCATGGGAACTGACCTCTGCTTTAGGGCGCTGGGGATGGGACACGCGGAACAGCGTAAGGTGCAAAGGGGAAATCGCTTCCGTAACTCCAGGGAAGCCAGCAGGGTCATATCCCAAGGGGAATTTGCTCCCATTCACTTTAAACAAACAAGCAACCCCGCCTCCCAAGTCAGCTATCCTTGGTGGGGATTAAGTGCAATGGGCAGCCACCAGAGGTGGCCACTTCTCTCAGTAAAGGGCCTTTGCAGGAGAGTTTCCCCCAGACGCCAAGACTCCCTAAGGAGCAAGCAAGACCCCAAGCAAACATCAGGCTGCAACTCGAAGTAAGAGCCTAGCCCTGTGAGATCCTGAGCAGGCTGCATTCAGACTGTGCTCAGCTGGAGTGTAAGGAGCCCTGTCCGATAGCTCCCTGAGCTGTTATCCAGAAGGGCTGAGCTGAGTCACTTGTCGGCCAGACTCTCAGGCCCCGTTTAAGACTATTTAACCTGGCAGATGGAGCAAGTCCGCTGCTCCCTCCCTTGACTGCTCCATGAGAGGTGTTAGCTCCTAAATCCGTTGCCTTCTCCGTGGCTGGCCTCATAACCACTGACCACAGGCTACCACTGAGGCTTGGCAGCAGCTGTGCAACAGGCATGCAAACACATCCCGACCTAGGAGAGTCATTCCACATGTAGTCCTGGGATGGGAAGAGCTGCAAGGCAAAGCTTTTAGCCTGGCAAAAGAATGTCGCAAGCGCCGCTCCCCCTCCCCTCCCTCCTTTCCCCACCAGACCAAACCACCAGCAGAAAATAGCAGGGTTAAAAGAAGGCAAATCTCTCCTATCAGGCTTTACAATGGGAGGCTGCCCCTTTATGGCCAGGGGAACTTCAAGGGCTCAAATGGAAGGGACCAGAGGCTGAGATAATGCCATTAACTGTCTGTATGGCTCCGGATGCATCGCGAGGGAGACAACAGAAATGGGGGTGATATCTTTGCTTAACGTTTCCCATTAGTGCCGTCATTGCGAGGGAGACAACAGAAATGGGGGTGATATCTTTGCTTAACGTTTCCCATTAGTGCCGTGGCGGTTGGGGGAGGGGCACTCTTGAGGCTGTAATTAACAGTGTTACTGTGAGCAAAGCTACATCCTATGAGAAGGAGAGTGTGTATCTGGCTGCTCTTCTTCCATAAAGGGAAAAAATAGACAATACTTAAAAATACAGTAATAAAGCAAAAGGATTATTTTATTCAGGCACAGCGTGTTTTGCATTGTTATTGGGGGTGCTTAGCATCACTGGGTCCTCTGGGGATGGTATCATAGTCCGCGGGGCAGGAGCTCTGAGTGTGCAAAGGGGGCACCTAGGCTTGAGTGCACGTTTTCACACCCAGCTTCGTACAATAAGGGGAAGGGGCGGGGGAAAGCATAGGAGGATCTAGGGGGCCAAGATTTTCCACAAGGGCATGTGGTTATGGAGAACTCGGGGGGACGAGGCAAGTCCAGGAGTAGTTCCTAGGGAAGGGACTAACGACAGCACAGTGGTTGCCAGGCTGGGGGTGGCAGAAAGGGAGGCTTTGTTCCTCCTTCATTGCTGTAGCAAAAATCAAGATGGACAGCCGCCACTGTTCCCTATGCTTAGCGTTTATTACCGCTACCCCACCGCGTTTGTGCACACACACTTGAGCACAAACACATGTGCATGTTCCCTGCACACTCCTAGGTGTGCAGACACTTTCTCCTCCACAGAGACAAGGACACACCTTTTCTACTGCAACCTGAAAGAAAACCCCAGAACAGAATAAACAGTTGTTCATTGTAATAGAGAGGAGGTTATTGGACAGATCCTTGGCTGAGGGGAGGGGGTCTATTAGCCACATGGTTCACATCAATTTTTCCCCTCTTCATTACACAAAATACATAATCAGGAAGCACAAATTTCACTTGTTTTTTCAGAAGACACGAAGCTATTCCCATCCGCCCTTCCGACAAGGCATCAGACCCCCAAGGCAATGAAACATCTGTGGGGAAGCTAAAAAGCATTTTAGCTCCTACTCTGACATGTAAACAATACAAAATAATGAGAAAGAAATACAAAGGCAGCAGCTGACACAGGCAGCTCTTTTAAATTAAAAACACATATATCTATATTTTTTCCATCTCTTCCAAAGGCTTTCACAGCTATCCTTATCCCTTGTCTCAACTCTTCATTTGAACCTGAATCACAGCTGCTCTTCAGCCAAAAGAAAACAACTAAAAACGTATAATATAAAAGATCAACATTACCAGGTTAGCTTGGCCTGTTATGAAACGTTCAGTTAAACAACCCTCTACCCTCTGTCCAAGTTCTATTTTATCATCATGTGAACGTCTGTTGATTTGTTTCCTGGGGGAGTAAACGACGGAGATGTCAAGAATAAAATCCCTTTAAAAACAGGTACAATAGCAAGGCAGTCAAGGAAGCCCTACGCAGTAGCAGGTAGGCAGTGAATTGAGTGGGTTTCTGTCCATACACCACATGAACCACCATCCCCACTGGATCGCAGTTGGCAGTCTGAGCAGAAAGGTTAAAGGGATCCTGCCCCATCTGACCCTGTGCTGGCTATCTCGGGGGTGAAGGCTGGGGACTTTGAAATCTGAATCCAAGATCTGCAGCTTGAGCCCTGGTTGGCTGGAGAGTGAGTTCTTCTGTTAATGCTAGAAGAACTGCCAGGTCAGGACAGAAGCTGGAAAATGGGGGTAGGAAAATTTGCTTCCTTAGTACCTTGGCTATGGTGTCAGTCCTCCGGATTTCTGCTCCAGCCACTTCCAACGCTCTTAATCACCGGTAGAATTAAGGAGGCAGAATTCAGCCATACTGTAAACCAAGCTGAACATCTGGTCCCCGAGAGCCAACCCAGCTGTCGTGCGACCTTCTACCCACCTTAGAAACCACTGCTAGAGCACTCTGTGCTCCCAAAGCAGTCTGCCTCCGCCTCCCTACTTTGCTTGCCTAAGACAGGCAGCAGATTTCTCACCAACAGGATGGGGTGTCACTGTGAAATTAACCAGCACACCTGGGGCATCAATGCCACACATTGTGGGGAGGTAGGGAAACCTGCTTAGTGGCTTTTATTTTGCCCTCAGTGGCAAAGAGATAAGAGCCGCACAGAAGAGGTGCAAGAGACACTGGTCCCACTTGGTTTGCAACCTGCTCCTGCTTAGGAGATTGGCCAGTGCAGAGGAGCAAGGCACAGCCAGGTACTACGCAGCCTGCCACTCCAGGCTTCCCAGAAGAGCTTTTCGGTGTTACCCTGCTGCTCAGCCAGATGGCTCTCTCATGCATCCAAGTACCAGGCTGTCCCAACGTTGGGTCAGCGTGAGCCCTGGCAGGAGATTGCTGTGTATGATCCTATTGTCTTTCCTTTCAAATGTACCTTGCTCACATCCTGCGCATGGGTGACTTTGTCCTTTCACACACAATGCCCGAAAATGGTCACCACAGCCATCCAAGTGTGCCCCAGAAACTGGCTAGCTCAGTCACTTTGGAGCTGAGTCGCGTGTCAGGGGTTTGACCCCGTTAGGCAAGCCCCGAGTGAGAGCCCTCCCCCCGGGATCTGCCACGTTCCTCTACGGTTTACAACTGGTGCTGCTCTTGCCAGGGGCTACAGGAGATGAGCAGAGGTGGGGAGTAGCAGAATTTGACTCCAAAAAATACTTGTGCCTGACTCTGATCTCACACCAGGGCAAATCCAGAGTAAACCAGCAGAAGCTCAGAGAATTAATCCCAGTTCATACTCACACAATTAAGCTCTGAGGTGTTAAATTAAGGCTAAAGAATCAGGCACTCAGAAAAAGGAAAACTGCCCGCCGCATGCGTCAGAGGGTCAGTCGGACACGACGAGCGTAGCTAAGCGATCTTCCAGAGAGAGCAAGGCAGGCGCTTCAGAACGGCTGCTTGGTAAGGAAGAGACACAGGATGGTTAAGAGGTTCACCAGCTGCTACCCAACATCACACACTACTGGACAATTCCAGCCCTGCCTCGCGATGCCCCACCTCCAGTGAGCCAGCGAGGGAGGCAAATGCTTCCTCTGCAGCAGATCGCCTGCAGTTCTTCTCACTGTCCTTTACCCCCCGGCACTGCTGCTCTCGGCCCTTCCATGCGCCACCCTACAAGGCTGGGGAGTTGCTAAACTGACCACGTGCACCTAGGAAGCGTCGGCAGGTGGGCAGGAGAAATTGCCTTAGTAACAGGCACTTTCTGGCTATCATTCTATGCTGAAAGATGTGCCACCACCAGTTAACAACTGGCCCACCCAGCTGGTAGTCTAGCTCAGAGAGGGAGGTACTTACACTAAAAGGTTACCACTTTAAGGTTAGGGGACAGGTGAGGGAGTTGTCCCTCAAAAGAAAGGCTCCAGACTGGCTGAGGAAGGGGATATTCCAGGACAACTGAAAAAGGATCGACAAAGAGAAGCTGAGTCTGATCTTCACTAGATGCTGTGTGGGGTTGGGGGCCGGGGAGTGTCTCTTATCAACCTCCAAGGCCCAAGCCAGCCTCTCACTGATGGGCGTCAGGAAGAAACTCCCTCTGGGAGCAAGTTGCCCATCCCTGCAGGAGTATCTGCACCAGTCACTAAAACGGGTGTGGCCAGCCATTGTCAAACATAGGGACCAGCTCGGATACGGTACGGCAACTCCTGTGTTTCCACAGTAAGGGACTTGCGGGCAGGACTCCTGGGTTCTCCACTCAGCTGCTTTGCTATATATCCTCCCACAGGCCATAAACCTCCGCCGAGTGGCATCTGGCCCAGGGTGCCTCTCTTCAAGCCAAAGATTCAAAACTCTAGGGGGGTGGGGCAATTAACTCCATGCACAACAGCGAGATGCCACGGCTACAGGTTCAACGTTGCTTTCAGGCAGCGTCCCCTCCCCCCCTCCCCAATTTGCGTGCCTCCCAGAGTCTCCTCACACCGCTGCTTTAGCAGGAGAAGGGGGCTGTTGGCACAAATTCACTGACCCCCAGAATTAAATGCATACACTCCATTCCACAGGCAGTCCATTGCTAGGTGAGGGCTCTTCCCCCCTCACATGCACCTGCAGCCTGAGGGAGGCTGGAAGCTCTGAAGTTCACATCTGGCAAGTCTGATGCATTTCCAGCCTCTTGCACAACCCGAGGCTTCATCTTTATTATCAAAGGCGGATATATGTTTGGGAGAGGGTGGGAGGTGCTGTGGTTACAGGGAACCCCCCATCCCACCAGCAGGTCAGTCAGTTCGCCTGCTCCTGCCCCCTTCTCAGACAGGGTGTACAAACTGGTAGACCAGGCGCTGGGAGATGTCAGGCTTGCGGATGATCCCTTTCTTGTAATACTGCCGGATGGAGCGACTCAGCTTGTCATAGTTCATGGCCGGCCGGTTCTTCCGGATTCCCCATAAACGCGCCACCTGGGCAGAGTCCTCGATCTTAAATATGCCTGAGAGCAGAAGATGGGGAGAAAAAGGAGGCAATAATATAGGATGGGGGGTGAGGTGCTAGAGCAGTGTTTCTTAAACTTTTTAAGATGCAGCAACACCGAACAATATTATTTTTTTTTTAAATGAGGAACACCAAGGACTTTTTGTTGAGCAAAAAAAAAAAAAAAAAAAGAGAGAGAGAGAGAGAGTCAGGGGAAAGTTCTTGAGGGGGGGGGGAAAAGTCACCTGTCCCTTTAAGGGCAGCCATTTTGAACTCTGTTGTTCTCCGCAGCACATCTCTGGCTGCCTCGCGGCACGCCGGTGTACTACAGGACACTGTTTAAGAAACACTGCGCTAGAGCAGCGGAGAGGCAGCATAGTCTAGTGGGCAGAGTGCAGGACTAGGATTCCGGAGTCACTGCCCTGCTGGGGGGATGTGGACAAGCGACTCCCACTCTCTGTGTGGCTGTTTCCCTTTTCACCCGTCAGCAGCCTTGTAAAGTCTGGGGGCAGGGACCCTGTGGGTACGCCTACTCAGGTAGCAAGGTCCAAGCCCGGCTCAGCAAACTCAGGCTCATGCAGTTTGCTCTAAGAACATCAGTGAAGATGTTCAGCCTTGGCTCGGAAGCTAGGGGCGGGAGGGTGTCAGAGCCTAGGCCACAAACTCTACACAGCTGCGTGTCTACTGGACCTTGAGCCTGTCAGGCACTGGGCAGATATGCCCAAGACGGGCAGAGTCGAGCACGCTCGGGCTTTGATCTGGGCACTACAGGAAGCAGGAGCCCACCGGAAGGTCCACCAGGAAGGGAGTTGAGCACATGGAGCTTTGGTTCCCACAAACTCACGAAGGGAGAGAGTTTGGGGAAAGAGAACAGGGAGACACCCAGGCGTAGGGCCTGATTCTGATCTCTCTGACAGCCACGGAACCCAGGAGCGACTGGGCTCAATTTTCTGGCTGCAAAGAGCCGGTCAGAAAGTCCGGCCCTGTGTCTTGACGGCTAACGAAAGTGGAATCTGGCCCAGAGGGTGTTGCGAGGGAGTGTCTGCCTGGGTGACGACCTGCGGGAGCTCCCGGAAATTACTCCGTAGAGAGAAGAGCAGCTTTGAGTCTCCCAGGAGTCAGTGGCCCCCACCTTTCTCCTTATTGAGCCAGCGAATGAACCGTCCGTAATGATGAGGCTTCAGCAAAAGCTCTTTGAGGAACTGCCACAGGTGGATGGGCTGGCCTGAGCAGGAGGAGTCCACCTCACTATCCGTCCAGCTCTCGTCACTGCCTGCAGCAGGAAGGAATCACACGCCAGAGGAGTGAATGACTTTGGTAACTGGGAACAGAGGGTCATGAGGGGCCAAAAGTAGCCTGCAACTTGGAGATCCCAGGTGCAGTTTCCTGCTCCGACACAGATTTCCCAAACTGATCTTGGGCAAGTCACTTAACTTCCCTCTGTCTTGGTTCCCCATCTGTAACCTAGGGAGAATAGCCCTGTCCTGCCTTCCAGGAGTGTTGTAAAGCCTGAGACTGTCAGCTCTTTGGGATAGGGACCATCTTGCTGTTCTTTCCTCTGTACAGCACCTAGCACATCAAGGTGCCGGTACACAGCTGGGACTCCTGAGTGCTACAGTATTAGTAAATTAACCATCATAAATACACTGACTCTCCTGCTGCACCCCCTAGTCCTCCTCACTTCTCCTTGGCAAAAGTGGGAACTCACCACAGTAGCGCACTTCTCCAGGCGCAGCCTTCTCCTTCATCCAGGCAGCTGGAAGGGAAGCCCAAGTAGTGTCAGAGAGGGGCATCATGCCAGGGGAGCAGAATCCACCCGCTACAGGGTGCGCCATTCACAAACAGGGGCCAGAGGTAACACAGAAGAGAGGCAATTGGCCGGGGAAGTGTCAATGGGTCATGGCTCATTCAGCATCAGCCCCCAAGCTTTTGAATGAAGGGAACTTTGCCGCGCTCGCCCCACCTCCTCCAGCTCCGCACCTGATTTCCAGATGTCCAGGTGGGCATGCAGTACATCCCCGCACACCAGGGAGCGCTGACGGAACTGCTCCTCCGACATGGCGCACAGATCCTTCCCGGACAGGTCCTGGAAAGATTTCCCGATCTGGGGCAGCCGGTACTGGTGCTCGGTCCATAAGATCCACTTCTGGACGTTTCCTGGACTCCAGTCTGCCGGATCTGTGGACGAGAAATAGCGAATGACCACCAAGGTCATTTCCCCTGTAGGCCCGCCATCCCTCGCCCATCACCGTCCGCTCCAAAGCGGAGCCAACGAGGTGCTGCCTGTAGGGTCCCTACCTCGCTGCTGGGTTTGGCTGGTCAGAGAGGACGCACGCAGGGCACGTTCTACCACTGCAGCAAGACGGCCACAGTTCGGCCCTGCTCTTGCTCCCTCCCTCCCCGAAGTCAGTGGGAAAATGCCCATTGACTCAGACAGGAGCCAGCTCCAGCTCCTCTAAGATCAGACTGCTCATTCTGGTTCACACTCCATCCCATCCCCACTGGGGCCAGCTGGCTGAAACCTTGCTGCAGGCGTTGGCAAGTCCAAAGCACTTCCACTGATCTCTCCGGCCACTGCTTTAAAGACACGTGCCGGATGATTTTCGAGAGGGGTACAATTGAACCACATCCGGGGGTGGGGCCATCTCAGCACTATTCCCTGGCAGTCCCCCCATAGTACATGCTTTAAGGTTTCACTGTCACACCCCTGCAGCCCAATCCTGGCAGTTTTATCATTGACATCAACAAAAGCAGGCTCTGTACCCCCCCCTCGCCCCCAGACTCACCACAGAGGACAGCTGCTAGACACTCAACATTCCACCACCAGCTCTTCCCTGAGCGGGAAATTAGCCAGGAAGAAAAAACAACCCATCCGGCTGCTCCCTTTCCCACCTCCCATCCACTTGCTTAGCACACAAGACTTCAGAGACTCTTTTCTCCCTTGGGGAAGAGATTCCCCCTGCAGCCTGGTGAAATATATTTCCCACGGTCATTGATAGGGGAGATGGGGAAAAGCTGTTAGTCCCTATAAATCCAGTTGCCCCCGTCTCTGGGGAGACCAGAATATTCAGCGTGTCTTAGGGGAAGGCTGGTGGAGTAGAAGACTGATTTAGGCAACGTTGCGCCATGTCTACACTGTAGCTACTACAGCGGCACAGCTGCAGCACTGCAGCATCGACACTTCTTACAGCGACAAAAGGGTTGTTTGTTGTTGATGTAGATCAGTGTTTCTCAACCTTTTTTTTTTTTTTTATAAAGTACCCCCAGTACCTACAGTTTTCAGAAATACAAACTATTTTTTTACCATTACAACACATTTGTTTAAACAACTTCATCGTAGCCGGGCGGGCGATGAAATTTGTGGGTGTAAAAAGTATAAACACAAGAAAGCGCTGTAGAATTTAAAACATTAATTCAGTTTTCTCCAAATGTCAGTTGTGTCCAGACTCCTCTCGAGTACCCCTAAGGCCACTCACACCACTGGTCGAGAAACACTGATGTAGATAATCCACCTTTCTATTGGTCGACAGAAGAATGCTAGCACCCCTATACTGGGGGTTAAGTTGATCTACTGACAGTGCTCAGGGCATGACATTTCTCATAGCCTTGAGGGTTGTAGCTAGGCCAGGGGTGGGCGAGATATGATTGGCGGGTTGGATCTGGCCTGCCAAGCCATCTGATCTGGCCTGCAGCCCGGCCTGCCGCGCCCCCACCCTCAGGCCAGTTGGGGGCTTGGAGGTGGGGGAGTGCGTGAAGTCCCCTCCCCTCACCAGAGCTGGTGGTTCCCTCTAGGCACGGTGCACCCCTGGCAGAATGGGGTGGGGGCGAGAGACTTTGCACACTCCCCCGCCCCCAGGCCAATCGGCACCTGGGAGTGGTGTGCACGCAAAGTCTCCTCTCCCCCTACCAGGGGCGCGTGCACCAGAGGTTCGAAACAGCCGGCGGGTCCCTCTGGGTGCTGCACGCCCCTGGCATGGTGAGGGCAGAGGCCGAGAGATTTTGTGCGCTCCCCCACACCTCAGGGAAGCTTGCAAAGTCTCCTCTCCCCTGCTGCACACGGTGCCTAGAAGGAACCGCCCCTTCTGCCTCATGCCCCGCCCCTTCTGGGGGCAGAACCACTACCAAAATTGGTGAAGTGCCCCCCCTACAAAAATTATTGCCCACCTCTGAGCTAGACCAAGCTACGTTTCAGGGGTTGCTCTGGCCTTAGACTCTTCCACCCCCAGCTCCCACCTCTTTGAAAACTCTAGGCACTGCTGGGATCCAGATGTGCCAGATGCCGCGCTGTGGGGGCCCCTCACGCACGCCCCCTCATGGTATCACAACCCCGCAGAACGCTTTCACTGTTTCCCTTTTCTCTCCCATACAAGGGCCTGCAAGGACAGAGCCAGTCTGCCCAGCTGGCTTTGTTTGAGCGAGCGTCCTGACAGCGAAGCCCACAGAGGCCAGTGTGTGTGTGTGTGGGGGGGGGAGGTTTCCTTTGACATCTGCAGCCCCTGGAAATGGGACTCCGTCCTGCCCTGGAGGAATGCCCATGAGGGGCATGGCGTGGCCTCCATGGCCCAGTCAGTGTTTGGCCTCTCTGCTGAGAGAGCCGACCAGGGGACAATTAGGACCTGACTCAAAGCTCCCTGAAACAACAGGAAAACTGCCTCAGCCTTCCAGGGGCTCTGGTTCAGCTGTCAGTGCCCTGGGGCTACCTGCCTACACAGCCCGCCCTGAGGAGCCCTGGTAACTGTGGAGGGCCAGGAATTCTGCAGCCACCCCATGGACATCCCAGAACAGAGCCCCCAACCCCTTTCCCCTGCTGCTGAGGCAAACCCAAACCAGGCAGCGAGGGGTGACAAGCGCCCCCGCCCGGTCGGGAGCTCTCAGGGCCCCTCCTCTCCCCACGACAAGGCACTGAGCTCCCCCCCGCCCCGCCCAGCAATGGGGAGAAAGAGAAGGAGGCACCCACCTGCCGCAATGTTGAGGAGCTTGCACGCTGTCTCGATGTCCTTGAGCACCTCGCCCACCACCATGCTCTGCACCTGCTCCAGCGAGTGCTCCTCCAAGTGGAGGCCGTCCTGGTAGTCCATGTCGGGGCTGAGCCCCAGGCCCTGGCTGTCGATGATGGGGCACTGCTCCGGCTCCTTCTGCCCTTCACCCCTGCCAGCTTGGCCGCTGCCCTGAGGCACCTCCCCCAGGCCCTTGGGCACCCAGCTGGTGTCCTCCGAGTAGAACATGTCGACGTAGTGGAGGTAGAAAGCGGGCAGGTTCTGCTCGGGCGTGGCAGGGGGGCTGGGGCTGTCCAGGGAGCTCCAGCTCTGGGTATCGAGGTCTTGTGCAGCGGGGGGCTTCTCCAGGCTGGTCAGCAGCAGGGAGTCCTGTGGGACGATCCGGCCGAGAGGCAGAGCGCTCAGCCCCTGGCCTGCGCTGCCCATCACTCTGCCCGGGTGCGTCTCCAAGTCTGCCAAGGGTTGGAGAGAGAAACAAACCCACAAGCCCCCGTCAGAGCGGGCTGGGGGTTGAGCATCATTCCTGTCTTTCTGCCCAGTGGACAGGCACAATGGGGGAAAGCTAAGCCTGTTAGCGGGAAAGAAGCCTCCAAAGAGCCACTCGACGCCCGAAGAGACCCCCCAGATGAAAACAGGTTAAATAGCTATTTGTGGGCCCGGGTGACTGCTTTGCTTCTGGGTCATTGGGCAGTCGGGGGGTTGAGAGGAGGGAAAAGCCGATCAGCCTGGAACGATCCGAGACCCAAACGTGAGGGAGTCACCCCTGAGCAGAGTGGTAGGAAGGAACAGGGTCTGGGAGAAATAAGCCCCCTCCTTGTCGAGCGCATGGGGGAGGGGGGTTGCCGAAGCCAGTTGGGATGATGAAGCCATCAGCCTCAGGAGGAGGGGGGAGGGGACATACACAAAGCCAGAGACAGGGCGTGGGAGTCAGGTTTCTGCGCCCCCTTCCTTGGGCGGGGAGTGCCTCTCTGCCAGGCACCCAGCACTAGTGCTCACAGCCGAGCCCCATCACTGCGAGGGGAGGCGCTGCTCGGGGCAGGGGCCGACAGAGGCGGGCCTCTCTGGTTGGACTCCGCAGCATTCCCCCTCCATGCATCTCTGCCAAGCGGGGCCTCCGAGCACCGATCAGTTACGATCACAGAGAAAAAGTCCAACCGAGTGGGGCAAGGACCGCCTGTTTGCTCGGCGTTTGTACAGCGCCTGGCGCGCTGGCGTCCCGGGCCAGGACTGGGAGTCAAGGGCACCACAATCATACAAACCAACAACAACCATGAATGAGCCGAGTGCCACCAAAGGAGCAGCCCTTTAAAAGGGCTTCACGTCAGCAGGGCACATCTGCATTGAGCCAGGAAGCCTTTCCAGCGGCGCTGGACTCCATATTGGTTCTCTCTCGACTTGGCGGTGCCTCAAACCCCATCGAGTCCCTAGCAGGGCTGCTGGGTAAATTCAAGGCACTGCGAGGGATTCAGAGTGCAGGCTTACTGGAAAGTCTTTTCGCACAGGGCCAGATTTACCAAGGGGTTTAGGTACCTAACCATGCAACTAGGCACCTTGGGAGATTCCTATAAAAGCTGGTGAGGCACAGAAATCTCATTGACGTCACTGGGAATTAGCCACGTCAGCTGCTTAGATGCTTTTCACTAGGGGCTTGTCTACACTGCAGAGAAGATCCAGCCTCTGGAAGTCCATCATCTAGCACTTGATTGAGCAGCTCAAGTGTAGACCCGGAAGTCGAACGCTGCAGGCAGCCCCCGCCGGCACCTGCTGCTCCTCATTCTGCGAGGAGTAAGGGAAGCCGGAGGGAGCGCGTGCTCCTATCGGCCTCCCACGGCGTGGACGCTGCGGCGGCTCCGCTTAAGGGGAGCCTACCTCAGCTACACATTTTGCATAGCTGGATGGTGTACCTTAAGCCAGCCTGCCTCGGTGCCTTGCTGCTTCCTTTGGTGCCTAAACCTCTTTGCAAACCTGGTCCCTACTGTAGACCAGGACAGAGAGCCATGTCCTAAAGGACACTGTGGGGATTCTCTAACAAGATTTAGGCCCAGGCGTAGCTGCTACTCTTGCGTCCCAGGGCAGCTCACGCTATTACACCCCCACCTCCGTGAGCTCTCCAGTCATTAGCTCTCCAAAACCCACTGAGACCCGTGCTAGTTCGGCTCCGATCTGGATGAGTCACTGGTATCTGTGACGTCCCAGACCCTACAGGGATGAGCCTGGTATAAAAACCCTAAAAAGAGTGGCTGGCGATTAGACTGAGCCCCAGCTCAGGGCACCTCGCGGCTGTGTCATTTCCATAGGGAACCCCCCTGGTTTTAGTATCCCTGTTTCCCAAGGATGGAAATGAAGCACTTAAAAGAAAAAAAAACAAACAGGGAGAGTAATTAACAATTTGCCAAGGGTCAGGCTGGCTTCTCCATCGCCCCGACCACATTTAAATTAAGATGAGCTGTTTTACTATCAGATCTCTGGGAATTCGGCCCGGGCGATCTAGAAGATCAAACAAGATGATCACGTCGGTCCCCGCTGGCCGGCCTTGGAAACTATCAATCAATTGACAGGGCGCACGGCAGCGGATGGCTCCTAGCCACGAACCCCTCCAATCCCTATTGGCATGAACTCTTTCTCTGGTTCTTTTCTTCCCAGAGCACATGTTTAAAAGCCCATTTCCATCTGTCTCCTCGACACAGGGAGCCCTGGACTCTGCAGAGAAGAGGATGACCCTGCTGAATTTCCATGGCAACCTTGGGTAATGTCGCCATCGAAAGAAAAAGCCCGATAGCTCCCCGAGAGGACTCCTGAGGCTTTAAAGAAAAGAGCCCTCTGAAATGAGCGTGCCAGTAAAAGGGCAGCACCAGGGGCAATTGGGAAGCTGTTTGCATGGCCCGTGCCTTTCTTTGTATGGGGATTTTCCAGAAAACCAAACCCCACCAAATGATTCCACGCTCTTTTTCTCCCAATATAGCAACCCCGTGCTAGTGAAGGTTGCTGCAATAACAAAGCAGTGTACACAGCAAGGCATCTCCTACAAAACACAGTGCACACGGATCACAGACTGTAAGCTCTTTGGGGGCAGGGGCCATCTGTGTTTGTACAGCACCTAGCGCACAGGGGCCATTACTTTTGTTCCTGTAATACAAATAATGAGCAATGATAGCAGCACACACAAGTGACTCTACACAAAATAACCAGCATGTGTCAGCGTAGGCCGTGACTCAAAAGAAACATTACAAAACCAAATAGGTCCATGCAGCACACACAAGTGATCTTGCATTAAACAAACCAACATATGATGGAGGACGGGAAACATTGGTAGGTGACCGGATTTGAGTGGGATGTTTCCCAGTGGGTATGATAAAAAAAAGCAGCAGCAGCAGGAAAATAATAGGAATGAAGAGCCTTCATTGAGTTCTTGAAACCCAAGGGAGCGGATGATGAAACAGCAAATCCCTTGAGTTTATCAAGCCCTTCTCGCCACATAAAGTACCCTTTGTGTAGCAGAGATGTTATTTACCGAAGTGTTCTGTACTGTGCGTTACTATCTTTGTACTTTTTTTAATGTGCCAAGAAAATTTCATTTCCATTCTACTGAGTCTTGAAGGTTGGTTCCAGCAAATCGGCTGGTCCCATGTCCCATGTTTGCTCCTTGCAGCCAGGGGTGCTTGGTAAATAAGAGATAATGAAATGTCATTAACAGCCGCAAGCTAGGTTTCCATTAACCACAGATTTGCCAGTGGAAGGGATGGGGGTAAGGAAAGGAGGAGGCATCCGGAAGATTTACATTGTTACCGTTAAACTCAGCCTTCAAACAAAACCAGGAACGAAGTCTACAACGATTTTAACAGCAGCAACGCTTAACATTCCCCCGGGGCGTTGCATCGCCACTGTGCTTCACAAAGGTTTCCCAATTATCCCTGGGAAAGAAGTTTTACCATCCTTGGGCCAGGGCCTGCATTACTGCAAATCATCATATCTCCACTGAAGTCAAGTCCTGGCCCTTTGCAGTGAATATAGGGAAACTGAGTCATGTGCAGGTTAAAAGACTTGCCAAAGGTCACGCAAACTCAGTGGCCGAGCTGGGGTTAGACGGACCTGGCTCCAATTCCTATGCACAGACCACTGTCTCATCCCACTGCTCCTGTTTGGCATCAGAATCCCAAAAGGCCAACATTTCACAAGGGCCTTTTGCGGCACAAATCTCAGGTTTTGAAAATGAACCACATTGCGAGCGAGGGAGGAATTCTACCGCTCTCGCTGGATTTTCCAAAGCCTCGGCACTCAAGGGGCCTGCAGGGCTCATCTGAAAAAAATCTAAATGCTTCTGTGCTTTTATTCAAAGAAAAAAAAAGAGAGAGAACATATACGCAGGAAACCCTACAATAACAAGTCAGCGTGCGGATCCTACGGTATGCAACAAATCCCAGCTACTGTGCGCAACCCTAGCCCTCATGAACAACTGTACAACAACCAGCACAGTGCTCAAGGACGACTGCCAGAAAATCTCCTTGCCATTCTCTACCATAGTAACTACTTCTGCGCCCGCGACTGACTATACAAAGAAAGCTTCTCCTCCTGCACATACCGTGTATACACAGGCAGGTTTGTGGGGAGCTCAGGCATTACAGTCATAGAAGTCAGCAGTGTTCCCTGTAAGCTGAGCATGTGGGCGGCCACCCAGGAGAAATTCAAATGCCACCCAGCTGATTTGCAGAGTGCCCACTGTCAGCAGCAAGTGTGTCTACTGGTGGTGCACATCCACACATGCCTCGGTACACCTAACAAAATGTATTCCGCACATGGAAAAAATTAGAGGGAACATTGGAGGCTAGAATAAGTCCCTAGAACATATAGATAAATATCCCTCCACATTTACACAACATGATCATATACTCACACGGAGATAAGTCCCTAGAATGTATAGATAAATATCCTCCCACATTTACACAACATGATCATATACTCACACGGATTTCCCAGCTTGAATCAACCACACTGGCTCATGGACAGCAATGGAGAACATAAGAACATAAAAACAGCCAGACTGGGTCAGATCAAATGTCCACCTATCTCCAGTGTCTTGTCTTCTGAGAGCGGCAAGTGCCAGGTGTCCCAGAGGTAACGAACAGGTAACCACCAAGCAATCCCTCCCCTGTCATCCATTCCCAGCTTCTGACAATCAGAGGCTAGGGACAACATCTCTACCCAGCTGGCTAATAGCCATTGATGGACCTAACCTCCATGAATCTATCTAGCTCTTTTCTGAACCCTGTGAAAGTCCTGGTCTTCACAACATCCTCTGGCGAGGAGTTCCACAGGTTGACTGTGTGCTGAGTGAAGAAAAACTTCCTTTTGTTTGTTTTAAACTTGCTACCTATTCATTTCATTTGGTGACCTCAAGCTCTCGGAGTTATGCTGATTTACACCTGGTGGGAAGGAGCACAGAAATAGCAGGCTG